TTTTGTATAGTCGAAGTAAACTGTATTGTGAATAGTGTCGGCGAGCTCAAAGACAAAAAAAAACAATACGAAGAAATGATGACGCTGCCAACTAGTCCACGTGGTGTTCACGATGGTGAACAATGCGAAAAAGAGATACCAGTGAATAGGATTCCGATGCATTTGAATATTGAAACAGAGAGAGTATGTTTCAATGTATATAAGAATCTACATCTCAAGTTTGGTTTCGAGGGAAACAAACCTTCAACAGCAACATCAGATTTGACCAAAATTTCTTTCTCAACAGTACGTAAAATCCCCAAAAACAAACTTATGAACGCAAGACGCGATGTGATACGGGATTACCAAAACATTTAGATGTTCATCTAATAAAAACATAAAAAACAGTTACCTACGACTGTTACAAAAGCAATGATATTCCTACAACTCAAATCAGAAGGCTATAAGTGTTTAGATCAATAAGTAATTTTGTGTACCCATTTGTATTTTCTATAATATTATTGTTGTCTAAAATTTATAATAATAATAATAATAGTTCTANAAGTCCGCGCCCGCAGAGTAAGTACAGAAGCGGAGACGAACGAAGTGAAACGGACTTAAACGGGTAGCGGGCGGAGTAGCGGGAGGGCGAACGAGTGCGATGGGTGCAGCGGAATGTCACGTCAGTTGTCAGCCGGTCGCGAGCCGCCGCTGTGTATTTTGGATTGGTCCCTCCCCTCACCTGCACTCCGCCAACACGAATGTTGACGAAATATAATACAGGATTGCTCAAATAAATCGTACAATATTTGTTCGCGCCAAATGTGATTTATAATTGAACTTTATTTCAATTTTATTTTTTCTTCATTTTTACTGAATTAGCTACATAAAAAATCCCGCTTCTTTCAATAAATTGATGGATGTAGCCGTTACTACGTGGTAGAAAGTCATAATGAAGAAAAGTTAAATCAATCTTTCTATGTTTTTTACCACTTTTATTTGTACCTAATGTTACTGCAGTTTCGTCCTATACGGACATTTTCAAACTTATACTAAGTATAAGTTATTATAAGTTAGTATAGTATAAGTATAGTTAGTATAAGTATAGTATAAGTAGGACGAAACTTCAGTAACGTTAGTTACAAATAAAAGTGGTGAAAACATAGAAAGTTTAATTTATCTTTTCTTCATAAAAAAATCCCGCGTTTGGCAAGTGCTCAGTTTGGCCGCAACAATAGAAGTCAAATGTAAATCTTTGAACCCAGCAGTTATTCATCATTCCAAGGCAGCATTTTTGAAGATAACTTTCGAAAAGCCATGGACCCTGATGTTTGGCCCTATAGAGCGTGCATTAGTCGATATTTTCAGAGGAAGGAGCGGAAACAAGTGATACGGTAACGTTTAAACCTGATCTACTGTCGAATAATATAAACACTATAAATAATGACAAAAATCAGTCATTTACTGACTGATATTGATGAAATTGAAGATATAAAATGTATTTGCTTAGTAGAAATAGGCATTAAACAGAATGTTGTTAAACCTGTCAGTTCTTATTGTGGATCTTCGTTATGATGTAGAGGTGTAGGAATTTGGGCTCGTTCAGACTTAGTAATTGATAGTATTGCCCTGTCAGATTTTTGTCTAGAGCAACATTTTGAAATATGTGCATGTATCTATAAATATGGTGGAACAATGGAAGACGTTATACACGGCGGTGTTGATTTGCCAGATGTCAGCCTCTTCTGTCAGAACACTATGAACCTCCGCATCCAAACAAGCCAGTTCTTGTGGCTTCAGGGGTCTAATTCTGTGGAGCGCCCTGCGTGTTTTGATTGTCGTCTCCATTGGTGGTATGGTGCAAGTCTCTTCTCCAACCGCTTCTACCACTTCGTTAGCAGGCTGGGGAGGAGCTATGTAGCCCTGCCGCCGAAGATAGGATACGTAATCCCTAAGATTTTGGGCGGAAAAGGCGGCATGCTCCGGATGTGTTTCACACCACAGAGCATGCAACCTCGCCATGTACCCTCTTCGCGCGGACTCACTACTCTCGTAGCAATGCATAAGGCTATCTCTCAGCTCATGCGTCCACTCAAAGCGTCCATTGTCGTAGCCAGGGTTGTCGTCGGTAAGCAAATCATCGTTATGGGCCCCACCACCTTGCCTCTGACCCCTTCGAGCGGGTCGATTGTGGGGGCCTCTTCCTTGATTATTGGGAACCAACCGGTCCACCGGGTGGTTAGCCCTGTGGACCCACAGGACTAACCCTGTTATTATTATTATTATACCTATTTTTAATATGTGTCTTTGGAGGTGAGTCCTCACGTGCGACACTTGCAGACACGACGAATATTTTTCAGTGTTTGATGTATTGAAAAAATATCTTGAGATATAAATAGCGTTGTGAACGCATTGAAAATAGTGAATATTATTTAATATATTTGTAGTCTATATTTATAAATGAATTAATATGAATTGATAAATAAATGTGTAGTAGGAGGATATTGATTTAAGTGAATTTCAAAATATGAAGTAGTTGAAGCTACAAGTCATCAATCTCCCCATGAATCACATAAGTTCCCCCTATTTTTTTCTGGGCCTCTTACCGCCCTCACCAAAGCGCTCAATTTGGGAAATACTGCCTAAAATAGATACTTTGGCTCACTATGAAATTTGAAACTTTTTTATAGATCAAACAATTTGTACACGTCTTGGCACTATTTGTTTTTGGTGGGATATCAATTCATATTGTCCGTTGCTTACAGTAGTCACTATTATAAAAAAATGAGGGTCAATTTCGGAATATTTGTAACGAATTAGCTATAATACTAATTTTTATGTGTGGAGTCGTCCATTATATTTGTGATGTTTTATAATCACTAAAACCTCATTTCCCTCCTGCTAATAAGTGATGAGCTTTTCGACTAGTCAAAAATCTATCAAATATCATCTTTAAAAACAGGTAGGAATAATCTAATGTGATTAGGCAAGTTGCAGGTTATTTCGATTGACAAAAAATTAGGAAGGAAAGGTGTAATCATATGAAAAACATGTAATTGTTTTATCCGCGAACGGAAAAATCGTTGCCTGGTATCTTCGAGTCAAGGTCTCGCGGCGCTATTCAGTTTTGAAATCGCGCGTTGAATGAAAAAACCATTACTCGGGATCTCACTGAACCACTTTTCTACCATATCGTATTTCGTTATTTTGTTTGGAACCATCTTCCACCTTTCAAACTTTACGGGAATGAACGATACCGTTTCAGATTGAACGTTAGTGAAAGTTCCATGCAAACTTCTATTACAAGGAATAGAGAGGAAAAAACAAATGCGACATCTTGAATGCTTAAGTCATTAAGAGTTCTAACTGCCTCAAAAGAGGTACATTTTCTTACAGTGTCTGAGGATTGATGATATAGGTCATTAGCGAACCGCCCCGGCTCCGCATGGGTGCAATGCTGATACTTAATATAAATTCCCCCATCGGAAATTTGAAGGCATGGAGCAAAAGTAATGAAAAAATAATTTTGTTTTATAGACGCGACTTTTTCCTCCGCGGCTGGCGCCCCAGTTGGAATATTTAAAGATCCCTTTTTATTGCACATCTACAACATAAAACGAAACTACATACAAAATCTCAGCTTCCGAATATACAGCGATACGGAGAAACAGTGATGAAAAGGTAATTTTCATATGTGAACGCGTCCCTTTTACCCGCACGGGGGCGCCCCAGTTGGACTATTTTAAAATTCTTCCTTAGTGCACATCTAAGACCTAAGAAGCACCTATTTTAGCTTCCTAGGACTACGGAGAAACAGATGAATTACTAAGTGTTAAGTGAGTGGCTTTCGCATTGATAAGTATAGAAGTTGCGATGAACTTGAAATTAATTTCACCAAAATTTTCAATTCCTTAAAAACAAGTCGGATTTAATGGCTTTTAGATGATACATTCTCTTTCTTCCTAACACGTCAAAATGTTATTGAGAATATTCAGGTAGGTACTTTGATTGAACTGCCATTTTTGAGGCTGAAAATAATACATTATATTTATTTGAAAATTCAACGCAAGTAACACTGACAGATACTGAAATTATAACAAGCCATAACTCCTCATTCTGAACTAATTTTCTGAATAATATTTTGACATATAATCAACAAAAAGAATACGAATATTGAAAAAACAGTTATTCTGGTTATACATTACGTAAAAAGAAAACGGTTTTCGATTCACTGTCAAAGTCAACTCTTCTTTCAAAAAGGACAATCTTCTTAGCATATCTTCGTGAGAAATCTATTTTATGGCAATTTCTGAATAAAACTTTGAACTATCACACTTCGTTCATCAAAATATTGGTCCGATATGACCAATATGATTTTTGTAAATGAATGTACAATACCCTTAAAATTAATGATCAATAGTTTTTAGCGCTCAAGATTTTCCAATTAAAGGATGAAAGAAATTCACTATACTTCATTTGTGGAGAAGTCATGCAAGTTTAAAAAATGTGTACTTATTGTTCACACTGAGATTTTCCTCCGAAAGCCCTGTACATTCACTGTTTTAAACGTTATATCATATATTGGAAGCATTCAATATTTTATACTGTTTATTTTATCGATTCGATGAGAAAGTACCAATCGTACCTATATGAAATTTCTTGTTTGTTACACTTTAGAAATCAATTTATATCTGTGTTCTATCATTAACCCTGAACTTCGCTTTGAGGTGAAAATCCAGTATTGCAGATTTATAGAGAAATATATCATTTTCGCTAAATATACTCATCAAGTTCCGCTTTATTGTATCGATGCATTCAGCTGGCTTCTTTATGTAGTGGAAAACTTCAGGAAAAAGGAATAAAACAAATCAACTAGGAAGTCAAATGACCAAGGAAACCCCCTCAGTTTTTTCAAACATGAAAATTCTCATTGCATACAGAAACAGTTCGATGAGAGTATGATATGCAGTGAACGGTAAGTGCTGAGAGAAAAAATTATAATATCAAATTTTATTTTTATTTCATTTAAATTCATTTACACAGCTTTGGGAACACAAATCGTTTTTAACACGCCACAACATTAGATCCATGCATGCAGCGGCATCTTCGTAACTGTTATGGCCTTCTGTGCTGGACTGTATATTGCGATGTAGCACCGTTGATGCTAATTCCTTCAGGGCCTTACGATAGGGAAGCCCTTTTTCGTGTTCAAACACAAGGGCGGTGTCTACTATATTTTTATGTGTAATTTTCAGAGCTCGCAAGTCGCTCTCCAACGAATGGCCAATTAAAACAGTTTCTGCTCCTATGAACTGCAAAAGGTCATATTGCACTTCGTGTATCCTTTTTGGGGCATTGATCTCCATATCATGGGCCGTTATTCCAGAAAAGCGAGTATTGTAGTCTACAATCTCATGATACGGCTTCACATAAGAATCATAAACTAAGCCTCCATCCATACGGACAACGGTGACTTTTGTCAACTCCAATCCTCTCACTGTATAACACATTTCACAGTCCAATGCATAAACTCCACTAGTTTCACCGACTTGAAAATCTTGCCTCTGTTTCGTTATTGCATATCCATAGTAAGGTTCTTCTATATCGTTATTTTCGAATCCACTCCATACATGAAGATGACTCTCTGTGCAACCCAAGGAACCAAATTTTTGATAACAGCAATCGTGAACGAAGTATCCATAATTTTCATGTGATGAAATATTACATCGACGCCTTTTGCCCCAATGGTGGTAACACTTCTCCTGCGTAATGTAAGCGTTTGCAGTCGTGAAAAATATTTTCTGGCACCTGCAGCATGTCCTCATCAAACATTTTTCTGTAGGCCTGAACTCCTGGGCATTGATATTTAATCTTCCTTCATGAACCGGAAAGCTAACGCTATGAGATTTTTTCCTTGTTGAACTACCTACTGGCTCGATTGGATAACCTAACGTCAATAATAAAGTAGGTGAGATCACATATCTGAGAAGTAATAACTCAAACGTTCTCTCCGAAACCCCCAAAGCGATAAAGTGAGGAGAAGGCTGCAACATTCCTGAGACTGTCCTCTGTCCCGATACTGAAGAAAGTTGAGCCACTTGATAAGTTGAATCTTGAGGAATGTACTCTCTTCGTGTTGAATTTATTCGTGTACGTGATTGACAATAAGTGTTATTCCTTCGCAATATCCTATGACTATCAGAATAATCCTTTCTTCGGTAAGATTCGTTACGAAAATAATTTGTCACTTCTTGGTGTGATCCTAGAGGGTCATATTTAGTAAAGTAATACTCATCACCGCTTCTTCCCTGTTCGATCCGGACACTATATGAACCGCACTGGCGGGATATAGGCGGAACAATAGTGGTCGCCAGAAGGTTGTACTGTACCAGATCTTCTATCTTACTCATTCTTGGTATTCTCAGAAAATCTCTTTCGTCCACTTCTTCTAGTCCACTGTCGCTGCAAAAAAAAACTATTGGTCACTTTCGTCGGTAGTGTCTGACGAAATGGAATGAAATCACATAATCGTTACATGACCATGAAAATGGTTACATAATTGAGAAATTATAGCCTTTCATTATAGATTTTTTTTGATTCTATCAACAACTGTGATGCCTCTTTAAAGTTGAGAAAAAAGTATAAAAGTCGACAAAATTATAGAGACTTCAGAAAACAGGTTTGATGAATCAGAATGTATTCTTTGAAATTTGATATTGTTATAGATCAGGCCCGAAAGACTTCGGACGCCACTGGTAACCAGAAACCAAACGTACACGAATTTGCCAGGACCAAATTACAGCTTTCCAGCCACAGGATGAAGATAAGATTTGACAAAAAGTCGCTGCCAGTGAGCTTCAAGGAGGGCGATGCAGTGTGGCTCTACCAACCCCAAAGTCAGAAAGGTTTGTACCCCAAGTTGCAGAGACAATGGCAAGGACCTTACTCGGTAACCAAAAAGATAAACGATCTGGTGTACAGAATCCAATTATCACCCAGAAGCGAGCCTGAATTTGTGCACATAGAGAGGTTAAGTCTTTACATGGGTCGTGATGTCCCCTCTTGGAATGTTGTTCAGGGCGAATAACCTCGGGGAAGAAGGTAGTATTGTAGATTATGCCCGAAAGAAAGTAACGCCGGCCGCCACTGGTAACCGGAAACCAAACGTGACATAGCTGAGGGCGTGGGAAGGCCCAATGTTACCTGCCGCTCGAGAAGGAGCAAGAAACATGCTATCGATATTGACGGATCATCGGCGAAATCCTAGGATGTTCCATTGCGATATTTAAACGCTGGCTGCAGGCCTATTCGGACAGTCACGTACACAGTGAAGTGGATGTTACAGTGCGGTACGCGAAGTGATCTAGTAAGGCGGTAGACATTCAAATAATAGAGTATTTGTGTATTTAAAGTGAAATAATGTTAAGATTATTCAGTGCAGTCAATTATTGGTGAATCCACGGGATAAAACGTAACAATATCAACAGTCTGGTAATTTCACAGCAAACTTGAAACTTTCATCGCTTTTTATTATTCCATTCATAATTTGGCACTGCAGTTTTCAAAATCAACAGTATCTGTCAAATCCACAACTGTTACATGATATTGTGCCAAAGTTGACATCTAACTGGAAACTCGAATGGGGGAAACACTTGAATAAGTGGAATACCTAAGCTCCACAGGGTGGTTACAATTTCCATCTCCATCTTGATACACAAATTAGGAATCTTCCAAAGAAAGGAAGGATGCAATCAATTTCAAAAAGGAAGTAATTTTCAGGCACAAACTGGAAGAGAAGGCCTTTTCGAAATAGCTATACTTTCACATAAACATTGTGTCTTTGTTTTCCAAGAACTCTATCACAGAGTCACACTTCTGTGTGAAACATCAATCAGGTAAAATATTCATCATTAGCAACATAAAGTTAATTAAATAGTCTGTCATTTGAAGAGCTTCTTTGGATTTTATTGACTGCTATGATGACATATTGCAGCGATTGAAACAGTCGTTCACTTAAATTTCTATCAACTTAATGTTGTCGATGAATGACGCAATGTACGGCGAGCACATTTGGAATTTCAATCCAACTGAATTCCAAAAATACCAAAATGCACTTGAGTCTTCATTAATTTTGCGTTCACTTTCGTTAAGGAAGTTTTAATGAGCATTGTTTATTTGTTGCTGAACTTCACTTCTCAACGCGATAAATTGCTACCGATTGAAAGATGTTTTATGTTTTTTCAGGTTTTTGTGGGGTTATCTACGGGTACGATTAATTTTCAGGGAGGCGGTTACATCAAAAACATCATAGAGCCTACTGTTTAGATGATAGCAAGCGTCATTAACATTTGTTTGTTCTAAGATATGCGACCAATCTATATCAGAAATGAGTTGATACATCAAAGGGAAATTTGCCTTTCTGAAGTTATCATTTTTTGAGATGCTATTGGTTTTTGAAACATTATTGAAATGATTATGTGAGGTTCTGATTTCAAACAATAAAGGAGGATGATGACTATCCTCCTTCAGCAGAGGTTCCAAATTTCTATTTATAGCACAAGTGATTGTTGATAGAACAAGATCTAAAGTACGGTTGTTGGTATTATTTATATTATTGTAGCCAAGCAATTTCCATGAAAATTCTTAGAATTTTTCCTTTATTAAACTCGATGAATTTGTGAAATACCGTCAACTAACCTCAAATTCTACAAACGTAATATGTAAAAACCACTTTTATCACTTATAATCACAGTAAATTCTCTTTTTATAAATAAATTGTTAATGAATATCAGTGACCACGATATATTATTTGATTAAAAATATTTACGTATATCTATATCTCACGTATATCTCACGGACACGTGTTTCTGGCTATTAGCCTCATCAGCGCGGTGCAGCCAAGTGTGAAGATGGGCAACACTTGTTTGCCGAAAGCAAACAAGTGTAGTAGGTTCAAAAACACTTGAATAAATATCGTGAATACAGTTCCAGTTCTCACGCAAACTTACGTAGAAGTATTTACTTTCTCTGTTGGTTACTTTTTTGAAAAACTAGAATATTGACTAGCTAAGTTCAGGGACTTCTTCTCCCATCGCGACAGTTGACGGTCTATGCCGATAACGACCGTCCTCAAAGATAGCACGTGGATATTGTGGTCGGAGAGGAGTACATTTTTACGATGCGCGCACACTGTCACGAACCTGAAGTTAGCTTCTTCTTTGATTTATATGGCCGTTGCTTCTCAGTCGAGCGCATTTGGCCAGACTCCTCCTTTTCATAGTGAACAGGAGCTTCGTCCGGGGGCGCAGCTGTCTTGCTCGAGGCATTGCTGCCACCATAAGTTTTCTCATTCACTTTTTCTTTTATGAAAACATTTTTTACGGGAGGGTCACCAGTCCTTTCGATATGACTTTCACAAATAAAACATCTATTATCGCACTGACTGTCCTCTAAAAATGTCTTTCACTTCGACATTCATTCGAATTTGACTTCATTTTATTTTTTAATAATCGTTAAACAAGTAGTAAGTCAAAATAATCAGAAAAAAAGTTTTATACTCCATTTTAATTATATTATCTGTACGAAAAGGAACAACAAAACGGCGTTGTTATGGATTATGTAAAAGTGATACACGATACAAATTATTCAAAACCAACACATACTATTTTATACATTTTCCAAAGCCTTGTCTTGAATATCGCATAAAATAATCAAATCATCAAGCAAATTACATATTAAAGCATGTGCGAAATGTGAATTGAAAGTGAAAAAATGTGGCAGGAGTGATCGAGGCTTTAAATCTATTGAAGATGTTGCCAAGGATACTTATATTTGCTCACTATATTTCATTGGAGAAATTGGTCCNTAATGACGCCCATCTCACCAAATTACACAAGTGATGGTATGCCTCTTGTGCCTGTTGCTCATATTGCGTGATGGACCCTCTTACTCTGGGAACTTAGAGGGTGGTAGATAATGAAATGCAAATAAATATGGGTTCTTATAACCTGCTACACCATTTATTGTCTTCTTTTTAGAGTCGGGAAGTAGGTATTCAAAGGTAAAACCTTGATTTAATTTTTTTTTCTAGAAATATATTTTTTTATTGAAGCCAACCCTGAACGTGGCATCTATTTTATGGTGGGCCTACCAACTGCCTATCATAAACGAATGCGTATATAAAATTTCGTGTCCCTGCTATTTACGCTGAGGAGATCTCTCGTACGGAGCCGATCCTGACAGCAGCATCAGGTCACGTTTATGACTGACAAAAAATAAATAAAATAAAATTAAAAAGTTAAGAGATTCCAAGCCAAGTTAATTCACGACGTTTCGATTATCCACAATCGTCTTCGGGTGATGACTGGACCGATTTCTCCGTGAGCTGATTATTTATAGGCCATTTGAGTACTCTCACTTATCTCTACTTTCCTTTTTCCGCTTCACTGGTTTTAGTGGGAGATGACCGTTTGGCGGGAGTTGGCCATTTTTCGCTTGATTATGGGTTTCCATATGTTGTGAATCTCTACGCTAGCTTGGCCGGCACAGATGATAAAATTGAAATTTGAGAATACATTTGAAAACATATCCTCTATGCGGTCTATGAATTCAAAAGTATTAGAATTCTGAGGTCTATAAACATTTCTCACAACTATCGTGAGTTTATCTAACATAATTTTCATACATCGATAACCGCATTCTCTCGTAGATATAGAATCGACTCTGTGTGATTTACCAAAGGGATATAATATTCCCGTGGATGGTACATTGAATTCAGACACTCTGAGTTTGATTCAAAGACCACAATTCAAATTCGTCCAATAATTTTCTTTAAATTCACAATTCGTCCAATGATATGTCACATTTGGTGCTGAATATTATGATTTTTGTGATCTACAGTAAAAATTATTTGAAACGAGTACCCATATCAGCTGGTTGCAACTTGTATAACCGGGAGTTAAAACCGTTTTTTGCAGTTGATAATCCTGGTTTTGAGAATACTCTATAATTTTCTGAAATATACAATAGTTTCAATACCAACAGATTATTGTTTCCGGCATAATAATGGAATTTGTTATGCGTGGTTTTTCTATAACTGATTACAAAAAGAATATTGATAACAATTTGCAATTCAGCATGATAATTTCATATATTCATCAACGTTGAAAATGAAATTCATCGTTTTCATTCAAAACAATTTTTATAATTTTCGAATGAAATGTATAACTATGTATTTTCTTTACAAAATCGGTACGGCTACCTAAAAACATTATTTCATAATTGTAGTTGAAAAAGTATTAAATTTGTTTTCGATAAAGTGTTGTGACAAAAAATATTCTCTAGTTCACCTCCTGATGACTCCAAATTGTTAGGGGAAACGCGCGCGTCAATAAGAGTGGTAGAGTTCTAATGTTTGTCGTCAGAATATTAGAGAT